CGACGGGGCCGAAAGCCAACCCGAGTGTTTGGGTGTTGCTTGAACTGACTCTGCGTGTGCGTGTGTGAAGGTGTACCTCACAGAGCGTGCGCCCATTCCATAGTTCCACACGTACCAACAGCTCCCGCCTCCTGCTCCTCATGGGATCAGCGGTCTTGCGATTACCGCCCACCTTCCTCGAACCCTCCCTGTGTTTGCGTTACGGCTGTCAGTTTGAGCTCCTGGGGTGGGGGTGGGGGGAGATCAGGCTTTGAAACAGACCCCGGCTCCAAGGCCAACCTCCTCGCGGAGCTGAGCAGAATGGTCACTTACTTTGAAGGCAACGTCACGGGTTGTCTGGGTTGGAGACTGAACGATGGCCTCTGAGCCATAGATTTAGGGTTCACCCCCCCCCCCCACACACACACACAGCGGAACCAGTGAGTTCTGGTGTCTATAAGAATTTGAAATTCTTGGGTCAGGGCTCTCTTTGGGGTTGTCTGGGCAGAAAAAAAAAGAGAATTTGAAATTCTGTGCCACAGCTTCCCTCCCTTTGGCTAGGTGTCAGCGGGGAGCCCTGGTAGCATCCTGGGTGACCAATTGGCCGCCAGGGGAGGCTTCCTACTCCCATAAAGAGTGACCGTCTCAAGCCCACAGGGGCAGTTCTGGTCTGCTCCACGGGGGTGCCATCCTCACAATGGACTGGATGGCAGCGAGTTTGGGTCCTTGATCAGAAGGCCCCGCACCACCCCATTCTCCCAGTCTCCAGGCCGTGAAGGGAGAGAACTGGATTTATTTTCCTTGATCCAGGGAGCCCGGTGGTAGAACGGTTCCCGTGTCGGGCTGGGATCGGCAGTGTCAGCTGCTCCGTGGGAGAAAGACGGGGACTTCTACTCTGGTAAGGAGATACCGTCTCGGAAACCCACAGGGGCAGCTCTATCCCGTCCTGTAGGCTCTCTATGGGTTGGCACCAATTTGATGGCAGGGAGCCCTGATCACAGCTGCCCTGGGGAGCTGAAGGAGAATCAAACCCAAACCCCTCACTGCCCTGCGGCCAATACAGAGCATTTCCAAGACCGTCAATCCTTAGGGGACCAGGAAGCCTCTTCTTTCTCCCGCAAAGTGGCTGATGGGTTTGAACTGACAACTTGGCCGTGAGCAACCCAAAGCCTGCCAGAAATGCCCCTCTTAGACTCCAGTAGATGGTGTCTCTTTCCTATTCCCACGGAGAGACACCGCCCCTTACCACCCCTTCCCCCTCACCCCCTATTGCCAGCCCTGTGTCCCTGGGGCAGGATGGCCTCAAATAGCTTACGTCACCACCAGCAGCCCGAAGGTTCTCCGGCGGAGCACGGGCAGGCGGAACAAGTTGAGCACCGACGGGCTGGTCTTAGCAGAGGCCAGCTCCTCCTGCATGCTAGATGTCAGCACCTTGTGGGGGCAGAGAGCATGGGGTGGTGCCCCTCCTGTGCTGGGGCATGGGGGCCAGGCGGGGCACTGGCCTGGACCCGAGTCTCTGCAGACTGGAGTCCTTGGTGAGACCAAACTCAAAACTCAAAGCATCGAGTCCATTCTAACTCTACAGGAGCGATCCATAGGAGTGATCCCATAGGAATGGGGCAGGGAAAGCGCTGGCCTCTGTAGACTTGGCCCTCTTCACCTGTGCAGCCACGGGTCTTCTGCCCCAGCCCTCCTCTCTAGCCCAGTTCTCCCAGCGCCTCCAGCCCCCTCCTGTGCCCACTGGAATCCCCTTCTGCCTCTGGCCCCTTGCCACGTGGGTCTACCTGGTGGTGGTGGTGAGGTGATGGCAGGATCGGTGGTGGGGATGGGAATGACCGCCGAAGATGGGCTGGTGGAAGTGATGGTGGTCATCGTGGTGGCGGGAAAGGTATGATCGTGGCTATAGGGACTAGGCTCTCTGGCAGCGGTTCTCAACCTTCCTAATGCTGCGACCCTTTCATACCGTTCCTCATGTGGTGGTGACCCCCCAACCATAAAATTATTCTCGCTGCTACTTCATCACTGTCATTTTGCTACTGTGATGAATTGGGTGACCCCTGTGCAAGGGGTCGCGACCCATGGGTTGAGAACCGCTGCACAACGGTGGCAAGGCTGTAATAGTGGTAGAGGCATTGGTGGAGGTGGTGCTGCTGAAGGTGAGGGTGATTGTGGTGAGCGCTGGTGGGGTGGTGACGATGACGGCAATGATAATTATGCTGGTGGCGATAGTAGTGGTTATGGTTGGGTAGTATGGGATGGTTAGAACACGCTTGCTGATGGTGTTGCTGTTGGCGGTGGTGCTACGCCGTTTGTGTAGGGACCATGGTAGTGATGGTGGTGGTGGGAATGGGCGTGGGTGGAGATAGTGGAGGTGGTATTGGTGGTGATGATGGAGGTGTTGGTAGAGGTGGTGGTGAGGGAGGTGGTGATGGTGATACAGGTGGCGACAGTGTGGGTGGTGGCACTGGTGATGATTGAGGTGGTGGTGGTGTGGGTGTGGGTGGAGATGGTGGAGTTGGTGGTGGTGGTGATGGTGGAGGTGGTATTGGTGGAGGTGGCGGGGCTGGTGGCAGCCTGGGTGGTGGTGAGGCTGGTGAGAATCCAGGTGGTTCCCACGTGTCATTTCCCAGGTTAGGCCCCAAGATCAGGGCCGCACATGTCAGCATCTCACCTCTATGGTCAGTGTCTTGTAGGCCTCCTTGTGTCCATTGATCCTGGCCACCTTCTTGAGTTCCTGAAGGGCCCTGTCTGATTTGCCCACGGTAATCAGCCACCGGGCAGATTCCGGCAGCCACCTGGAGAGGAAGCAGGCAGCAAGCTGGGTCTTGGCTTGCTCGGCTCCTTCTGGAGGAGGGGGTGGGGAAGCGTGGTGGGCAGTGGATCTTCCAGCTGCAGTGAGAGTGGGGAAAGACATGTGCTCGCGTGCTAGGCAGTTAACTCGGGACTGAGAGATGGGGGTCCCTGATGGCTCTGGAACAAAGATGAGCCCCCACGTCTGGCCGCCTCTTCCTCCTCTTGCCGCTCCCATCTGCTTCCCTGGCTGCACACCTGAGCGTTGGTCTAACCGGGGCATTAGGCTGCCTGGCCACAGGGCGTCCTGGGGGCTGGCCACTCCTCTGTGCTTCTGGGGCCATTTTTGTGATGGAGAGGCTCTGTGTGCTTAAAAAACAATACTCCAAGTTAAAGCCCTCCAGCCAGGCCAAGGGATTTCACAACACCCCTCTGCTTCTTCCCAACCTGCCCTGGACAGATGGGCAAAGGGTCTCCCAGAGTTGGCCCAGCCCAAAGGGGGCTCAGTTGCATTTGCAGGAGCGCTGGGAAGAGCAGACTGATCTAGTAATGGAAAAGCCATCCCGCCTGGTTCTAATCCTACATCTGTTCCTCACCAGCTCTGTGACTTTGGGCAAGTTACCTACCCACTCTGGGCTTCGGTCCCGCCTCTGAAAATGACAAGAATGATAATGCCGTCCTCGTTAGAAAATGGGTTCTAGACACCCGCTACAATGAACAGCACCATGACCTGTCCAATCAGGTGCCTAAACCCACGACCATCGACCATCGAGGTGAATCCAGCCCATGCCATTGCCATCCACTTGATCCGGACTCATGCTGACCCTACAGGACAGAGGGGAGTGACCCCTTTGTGTTTCCAAGGACGTACATCTTTAGGGGAACAGGCAGCCTCATCCCCTCCCTCAGAGTAACTGATGACTTTGAACCACTGACCTTAGGTTTGAACCCTGAGCCACCCAAATGCAAATCAATCTCACTGCCCTTGAGTTGATAGGGCCAACCTATAGTGACCCTGTAGAACCCTCCCTGTGAGTTTCGGATCCTGTAACTCTTTGTGGGGGTAGAAAGCCTCATCTTTCTCCCTCGGAGCAGCTGGTGGGCTCGAACGGCTGACCTTGGGGTTAGCAGCCCCACGTGCAACACTCAGGGCAGTCTAATTGCACCAGGAGGCCTATGATGTATAATGATGGGATGCTTCCCTCTGTACCTCCTGGTGTGTTAACAACAAAGCCCCGTGAAGCCAGACTTTC